AAAAAAAATAAAAAAAAAGAGGAAGAGGAAAAAAAACATATATGTGCATAAGCAAGAAAGTAGAAGTGGAATATTATTGATGATAACATGCTTGATTGGGTCACTGTGCAGTTTATTCTAGATGGGAGATTACATTTAGTACGCTGTGATGATGCTCAGGGAATGAATGTTAGGGAAAAAAAAAAAAAAAAACGAAAACAAAAAACAAACAAAAAAAAACGGTTAAACTATTCGTACCATTTAAAAAAAAAAATTGGATATTTGATGGCTGCAGTGAGCGGTATGGGCCCAGTTGGGTTCTACTTTATAGTATGCTCTTTTTACCCAATGGGGTTTAGGCCTAAAGTCAGACTTGAGTTCATGTAGAGGCATGTGTCAGCTGTGATAACTATTGGAGAGACTTAGACTAATTAAGATCACTGACAGATCATTTGGGGAGGGGTGAGGCACGGAGGGCAATCGGGGATGACAGGGACAATGTGGGAGGAGGATGGGTCATAACAGAGGGAGGGGGATGGGGAATCTAGGATGGTAAAACAAAAGGCAAGGTATGCAGGACACAAGAATTGGGAAATTATTTGCTGAGAACATATATGTTGACGTGCTTGATTGAGCCAATGCACAGTGTATTTTGGATGGAAAATTCATTTGTGTGTTGTGATGGGAAAAAAATATATAATAAAAAAAATAATGTCAGAATCAGTCTACCTTATTTCAAGACTTATAATATAGTTATAGTAATTAAGACTATATTGTATTAATAGAGTAACAAACACATAGGTAAATGGAACAGAATAGAAAAACCCACCGATTTTTTTTTTTTTTTTAGAGGTTTTTGCTACAGGGTGCGTGCGCTCACCAGAAAGACAGAGTGAGACAGAGAGATAGAAAGCAAGAAATCACCACCCAGGGGGTATGGCCACGATGCAATCCCTTTTCCTCCATTCTCCTCTCGGGATCTTGGGCACACAAGCACATGCGCCTGGCGTGAGTTTAAGCCACTGGGTCTGGGACTCGAACCACGGTCGGCTATATGGGAGCCCACCGCCATGGCCATTATGCTAACTACTAGTCCCAAACCCACTGATTTTTAACAAAGGTACAAAAGCAATTTAATGGACGAAACATAGCCTTTTCAAAAAAATGCAACAAGAAATTAATCTCATTCTCAGTTTCATGCTGTCTTAGTCAATTTTTGCATTAAAAAAAATTTTTTTTAGAGAAATTTTTTTCTAAAGGGTGTGTGCACTTGCCAGAGAGACAGAGAGAAAGAAAGTGAGAAATCACCCCTGATGGCCATCCTACAATCCTTTCTTCTACATGCTCCTCGAGGTTTTGCCCAGTTTGAGTTTTAAGCTGCTGGGTCGGGACTCAAATCCTGATTAACTATGTGGGAATCCAGCAAAGTAACCATAATGCCATCTGCTGATTCCCATTTTTGCACAGTTAACAGAAATTCCCAAGCCTGGGTATTTTTTAAATAAGATAGAAGTTTATTTATAAACTCATGATTCCAGTGGCTACAAAGTCTAATCCAAGGCCTAAAGCATAACCAACAGAAGTACAGAGAATAGTGGATACATGCTGAGGCAGAACGAACTCCTGACTGATCTCTCTTTTGCAACAACCGGGTCTCTCAAAAACTAAACCCTGAGAGCTAGAACAATTGACATCATTAATCGATTCATAAGACAATTGCTGCTATGATTTAATTACCATGAACCAATCCACCCACTAAGACTTAACCTGGGACATCATGAAGGAATCAAATTTTCACCTGATACTTTTACAATACAGTCAATAAATCAAGCCCAACAAATGAATTTCTTGGGGACACATTCAAATCACAGCACATACCTGAACTAAAATAAAAAATAATTCAAAACGGATCAAGGACTTAAATGTAACATAAAGCTATAAAACTTTTAGGAAAAACCATAGAAAAATCTTCACAATAGTAAAGAGTTTTTAGACTTGTTATCAAAAACATAATCTATAAATGAAAAAATTAACATTGGATTCATCAAAATCAAGCACCTTTAATCTGTGAAGGATCATGTTTAAAAGGTTGAAAAGACAAGTTATAGAGTAGGGAAAAAAATATCTGCAAACCATACATCCAACAAAGGACTAGGATCTAAAATATATAAAAAGCTCTCAAAACTCAACAATAAAAAATCAAACAATTTAATTAGAAAATAGGCCAAAAAAAAAAAAAAAAAGGCTAGGCAGAAAGCATGGTGTTTAAGGCAGCTGGATTGCATATGGCCAACTCTGTGGTTGAATCCCAAACTCGGTGGTTTAAAAAACATGCCAGAAACATATTTCTGTGATGCCCAGAATCCCGAGATAAAAATGAAGAATGGATTGCAGAGTGGTCATCCCCAGTATGGGGGGGTGTACTTTCTTACTTTTTGTCTCTCTCTCTCTGTGTCTCTCTCTAGTGAGTGCATGCACACTGTAGTAAATTAGAAAAAAATAAAAAGAAAGGAAGAAAAGAAAATAGGCAAAAGATATAAAGAACTGTTTCACTATACAGGATATATGGATGGCAAATATGCATATGAAAGGAGCCATAAGCCACCAGGGAGAGGTCAAACAAAATCAAAATCAGATTATCACTATATATCTATCATAACTGCTGGAAAAAAATAGTGACATCAGATGCTAGTGAAGTTACAGAGAAATAATATCACTCATACTTTGCTGATAAGAATATAAAATGGAGGGGATCAACAGGTGGTGTGGTGGTTAAGGCGCTGGACACTCCCACATAGCCAACCACGGTTCTAGTCTCAGACGTGGTGGCTTGCTTTCTCACTTTCTCTCTCTCTCTTTCTCTGTGTCTCACTCTGGTCAAATTAAAATTACATAAAATTAAATAAATAATTCTTAAAAAAAAAAAAAGAATGTAAAAATGGTAAAAACCATCTCTTAAATATTAGGTTGGCAATTTCTGCAACTCTAAACATGCAACTACTATATGACTTGGCAACTGTATTCTGGAGCATTTATCCTAGAGAAATTAATATTACTTTTGCAAAAAAATACTAAATGAGTATTTGTAGCAGCTTTATTTATAATAGTCAAAAACTAGAAACAATCCTGAAAAAAATTAGGCACATACATAACATGTAAAACCACTGAGCAATAAAAATGAACAAACAACTGATGAATTTAACAATGTAGATGAGTCTCCAGAGAATTTTGCTAAGTAAAAAAGTCAATAAAAAAGATGGGGCCGGAAGGTGGTATGGTTAAAGGTGCTGGACTCCTACATGGCTGACCATGGTACATACACACACACCTACCTGGTTTGATTTCATGTCACCAGCTCCAGGACTAAAACCACTGTTGGCCATGTGGGAGTCCAGTGCCTTAAGCAATATGCCACCTGCTGCTATCTATGACATTCTTTTTTTTTTCTTTAAGGGTATTTATTTGCAAAAGGGAGAGAGAGGCATCCTCAGTAGGGTTTTCATATGGCAGTCCACCCAATTACAGGTGCAGTAGATACAAGGATTCCATAGGACCCAAACTGAGAACCTTCTCAAGTGGGTTCAACATTGCAGAATGTTGCATTATTTTTATAGCACTGACTCGCCCTATAAAACATTATTGAAATAACAAAATTATAAACAGAGAACAAATTAGTAGGTGCCTGGGTTAAGGAATAGCTGTAAAAGCACAAGGGAAGTGGTGTCGCTTTAAAAAAAGAAAGGAGCCTGTGATGGATGGTATTATTCTTTAATTTATCTATATTAATGTCAATATCCTGGTTGTGACATTGCATTAGTTTTAAAAAATGCTACCACTGGAGGAAACTAGAAAAGGGTACACAAGGTCTGTGCAGTTTTCTTAAAAGTACATGATCTACGATTATCTAAAAGTAAAAAATATAATTTAAAAAGTTACTCTTTTTATCTATGTAAAAAATATGAGTCAATCAAAAGTTAACAAAGAATTAAAAAGCAAAGTGGTGCTCCTTTGTTCTTGTTTTAATAGGAACTTTTTTCCCTCCTGCAATTAGAAAATCTTTCATACATAAGATTAAATGTACAAATGAAAAACATACTGTGATCCTAAATAATATTATCTCCTTACCAATGTTCCTTGGAAATTTCCTGGTTTCTTATACCATGCTTTGCCACCTCCCTCATCACAGACACATAGATGATCCATGAGTCCATTACTATATACAAAACATTTTCCTGACAAAGAAGATTCCAACGATCAACAATTACTTCATATGACTATTTTATTTTTATACATGAACAAATTAGAATTATGATAAGAGTCTAAAAAGTTATGAAAAGAAAAACTTGAAAAAGACAAATAATTATGTTTACTTTTTAATTCCTTCATTCATTAATTTTGTCAGAGGACACATGTGCTCTCCAGAGAACGAGAGAGCAGAGAGAAAGAGAGAGAGAAAGCACCTCCCAGCAAGGTGTGATCATGCTGTAATCCTTTTTCCTCCATTCCTCCTTCTCAAGACCTTGGGCACATCAGCATACATGCCTGGAATGTCTCTCAAGCTACCAGGGCTGGGATTCTAATCATGGTCTGTCATGTGGAATTGAACTCTTCCAATTGTTGAGCTATGGGGTCAGCCCACCACTTTTTAGGATATAATATTTATAGTAATTCAATATGCTTAGTAATATGGCTCGGCTCTAAACTCACAGCTGTAAAAAATAATGAAGTAAATCAGTGAATTTTATATTTTTAGAGCTTTAAGAAGAAAATGTACATATAAATTCTTCTAGCTTATTCTGGGAAGATAAAAAAGGAAAACATGCATTAAAAAGAGAACATGGGTGTGTATGTCTTACCTCTCCAGAAAAAAATCTATAATATGCAAAGAAAATTCAGACAAAACATTAAGGAAAATAATGTTATTCTCAATGTAATAATGCTTTAGTTTTGTCCCTTTTTCCACATTTACATTGCTTGGCCTAACCATTTTTTTTTTAGCTTCCACCTCATTTAGTGTAACTTTCCCTAATACCATATATTGGACTCACTCTTAATGCTAATATTGTCTTCTTCAATAGTCTTGCTCAACCACACACAAATCCAATGAGTTTTAGGTTTAAATGTTTCCTTCTGCTTTTAAGGCTTTCTTTAAATGTGTAGGAAACTATCTTTTTATTCACTTCCTACAATCCATTTATCCTTTTATTATTTGAAATACAGTTTTTGTTCATCATATTTTATTGCTATGCATACAACAGAATGCATTTATATCTGAGCACTTATATCAGAGAAGCCCAGGCTGCTTTCTGCTAATCAAATATATTTAAAATGTTATTATCTTTACAAAGTTGTAAAAGATTTACCAAGAAATTGCTATTTTTGCCATTTTATAAAAATATATAATTACTTGTGCCAAATTCCTCATTAACTGTTATACAGCAGTTAACAAAGCTGCCTAATAAAATAATGCATTTCTAATAACCGTATTCAAGAAACAGTTGGATAACTGTCATGAATGAGCTCAGATGGTCATTAACTCTTGGTCAAAGGAAGAAGGTAGATCCTCAGGTCTCTTAAAGTTTAACTCTGCTCTTACCTATAATGTATATATCTAAATATGTCATCATCTTCCACTTTAATTAGTGCATCCATAAAAATGGTAAAATGAAAAAAAAATGGTAAAATGTATGATATATATGCTATCTATCTACATCTCAGCATGCACAATAAATGGTGAAAAATGTTTCTGCATGAGAGTAAAGAAGTAATTAATTTGAATAAAGTAGCAAAGAGTGTTAGTAATACCAAAATTAATGTGGTAACATTTGTAAATCTGGGGTTGCAGGTGGCGTGGTGGTTAAGGGTGCTGGACTCCCACATGGCCAACTGTGGTTTGAGTCCCAGACCTGTGGCTTGCTTTCTCCTTTTTTCTCTCTCTCTCCCCCCCCGCCTCTCTGGTCAAATTAAAAATTAATTAATTAAGTTAAATAAAATAATTTTAATAAATAAAAATATAAAAATGTATCAATAGCATAGCATTTTCAGGATAACTAGTACACATACCTTTGGGGAATGGGTTGTTCTGAGCTTGGAGTCGAATTTTAACAACATCCAGAGGTGTTACTATGAAGATACATAATTTTCAATTAACAAGTGATATATCTATAAATTATAGACATTTTCTGAAGAACACAAAATATAGCAATTCATGCTCTTATTCATGGCTAATGGAGTAAACTTATTTATCTTAAAGTAGTCTCAAATGTAACATTCTAATTTTTTGCCCTCTAACGTGTTTTATTTATTCATGATGCAGTGCATGTGTGTGCAAGTGAGAAAGAGAGAAAGGAACATCCTTAATAGGGTCTGGTCATAGCACATGCCTGGAGTGTTTCAGGCTGACTGGGCCAAGGATTCAAACTGTGGTTGCCATGAGCAGTCCCAATCCACAGAGCCAGTCTCTGCCCTTGAATTTTGTTTAAAGAGGATCAGTGAGAAGACAGATTATTTCTTTCTTCAGTATTAAACTGTCCCTAATAATATTTCTACAACTACAATTCCATTAGAATTAAAACTAAAATACTAGTATTTATAAGAAAGTATGTACTTTAAGGTAAGGAATAAAAGTTCCAAAAGTCTGTTTAAATATTTGAGAATAGCTTTGTATTATGAGTCATCAATAATCAAACATTAGTCTTACTAACCTGTTAAGTTTACCTGTATCAAAATAAAAGTTGCAAGTAATGAAAATCTGAATAGGCTAGATCATAAATTGCCTTCAGCACCAGGTTGTGTTATATCATTTGAGAACAGTATAATAAAGGAAAATGATTTTAACACACATGGTATATTTTTTCCAAGTAGAAAAAAATGCCAAATAGTGGTTATGAAAGTTTTTTTCCGTACTTGAGAATAAAGAAATCATATTAGAAGGTCTCTAAGTCCTTTATAACCCTAAAATTCTGACCTGAACACACTATACAAAGAAGCAAAAATAGACAATGGGATTATATCAAACTAAAAAGCTTCTGCACGAAAAAGGAAACAATTAGAGTGAAAAGACAACCACAGAATGGAATAAAATATCTGCATACTACATCTGACAAGCGATTAATACCAGAATATACCATAAACTCAATTCAGCAGAGAAAAACAAATAAAACCTGATTTAAAAAAATAGGCAAAGGACATGAATTAACAGCTCTTGGGCCACCAGTGGCATAGCGGTTAAGGTGCTGGACTTCCACATGGCCTACTGTGGGTTGAGTCCTGGACTAAGCAGCTTTTGAGAATCATGCCAGTTGCATATATGTGTGTGCCCAAAATCCTGAGAGGAGAGTGGAGGAGAAGGGGCTGTGGAGTGGTCATCCCCCTGGAGGGTGATTTCTCACTTTCCCTCTCTCTGTCTCTCTGAAGAGTGCACATGCCCTATGGGGAAAAAACAAACAAACAAACACCCAAAAAAACAGTTCTCAAAAGACATCCAAATGACCAACAAGAATATATGTGGTGTGGTCATTCCCGTGGACATGATTTCTCACTTTCTCTCTCTCTGTCTCTCTCCTCTCTGGAGAGTGCACATGCCCTATGGCAAAAACAACAACAACAACAACAACAGCAACAACAAAAACAGTTCTCAAAAGAAGACATATGAATGATCAACAAGCCTATAAAAAATTGTGCACTGTTATGAAAACAAATCAAAATCACAATGAGATATTATCTGACTCCAGTGAGAATGATTATTATCAAAGACAAAAAAATACAAATGATGGTGAGGATGCAGAGAAAGGGGAACTACTTTTTTTTCTTCCACTTTTGCCATAGGGCACCTATACTCACCAAAGACAGACAGACACAGAGAGAGGGAAAGTGAGGATGCCCACATTGCAATTTATTCTCCTTTAGTCTCCTTTCAGAATTTTGGGCATGCATACACATGTACCTGGTGTGATTTTCAAGCTGTCAGGTCCGGGACTAGAATAACTCAGCAGGCCACGTGGGATCTAGCGCCCAAACCTCCACTCCACCTGCTTGCTCTGAAAGGGGAACTCTTTTATACTGTTGCTGGAAATGTAAGTTAGTAGAGCCATCATGGAAAACAATATGAAGATCCCTCAAAAAAACTAAAAACAGAACAGCCATATGATTGGGCAATCCCACTAAGAGGCATACAGTCAAAGGAAAGGAAATCAGTATGTCATAGTTATATTTGAGCCCCAGTGTTCACTGAAGCATTATTCACAATAGCCAAGATAACAGAATCAACCTGTGTCTATTAACAGATAAATGGATCAAGAAAATATGACATACATACACAATGAAATACTATTCAGTCACTTAAAAAAACCAAAATCCTGTCATTTGACATTAAACAGGTGACCCTGGAGGATACTGTTGATTGAAATAAGTCAGGAACAAAAAGAAAAATATCAGGAACAAAAAGAAGAATATCACATGTTCTCCCTCATATCAGGAGGGAAAAAAAAAAAAAAAACTGTCCACTGGGACCAGCAGATAGCATAATAGTTATGTCACTGGACTCCCACATAGTCAAGAATGGTTCAAGCCCCAGATCTGGCAACTTGAAACTCACACCAGGGGCATGTGCATGTGTGCTCAAGTTCCCGAGAGGAGAATGGAGAAGGGATTGTAGCGTGGTCATCCTTCTGGGGGTGATTTCTTGTTTTCTGTCTCTATCTGACAAGAACATGCCCCCCCCTGCTGTAAAAATATCTCTTTTAAAAAAAGAAGTCCATAAAGAAGTAGACAGTTGAAGAATGACCGGGAACCAGCAGTTAGCGTAATGGCTATGTCGCTGGACTCCCACGTAGTCGACCGCGGTTCATGTCCCGGACCCGGTGGCTTAAAACTCATGCCGGGCACGTGTGCGTGTGTGCCCAAGATCCCGAGAGGAGAATGGAGGAGAAGGGATTGTGGCATGACCATCCCCCCTGGGGGGTGATTTCTCGCTTTCTGTCTCTATGTCTCTCTCTGTCTGTCTGGCGAGCGCACGCGCCCTACAGTGAAAATCTCTCCAAAAAAAAAAGAATGACCAAGAAGGATGGAGGTGGAGTGATAGAATAATGACTACTAAAAACAAAATTACTGATAGGTGATGGATAAGACAATTTCTAATGTTATAATATATAGTTACCAATTTATTGTATATCTCAGAGAACCTAAAAAAGAGGATTTTTTTAATGTTTCCCACACTAAGTAGTGACAAGTGGTTGAGATGATAGGAATACTAATTAACTTCTTTTTTTTTAAATTTTGCATGTATACTGGCTAGAAAGAGGAAGGGAAAGCAAGAAAGCACCGTCCCTCTGGGGCATGGTCACATCATAATTCCTTTTCCTACATTTCTCCCTCTTGTTGAGATTTTGAGCATGCATGCATACTCAGTATATTTTTTCAAGACACACTGGGTCTGGGAACTCCAACCACATAGTCAGCCATGGGATCAGGTTACCTTAACCATCAGGCCACCATGTCATGGGTTGCCCAACCATTACTTAATCATTACACATTATATTCTTATTAAAAAAAAAAAAACAGTGTATTCCACAAATATGCACACTTACATGCATATAGGAGTGGTTTTTTTTTCCTTTTTTGGAGAGGTTTGTTTTTCCTTATTGGGTGTGTGCACTCGCCAGAAAGAGAGACAAAAAGCAAGAAATCACCCCCAGGGGAGATGGTCACCCCACAGTCCCTTCTTCTCCATACTCCTCTTAGGATTTTGGACATGCATGCACATGCGCCCGGCGTGAGTTTAAGCCACCGAGTCCGGGATTCGAACTGCAGTTGTCTACATGGGAGTCCAGCGACATAGCCATTACGCTAACTGCTGGTCCCTAGCTGTGTTTTGTTTTTAAGAGAGATTTTTATATGTGGTACATGTACTCGCCGGAGAGACAGGGGAAGAAAGCAAGAAATCATCCCCAGGGGAGATGGTCACCCCACAGTCCCTTCTTCTCCATACTCCTCTTAGGATTTTGGACATGCATGCACATGCGCCCAGCATGAGTTTTAAGCCACCAAGTCAGGGACTTGAACTACGGCTGACTATGTGGAAGGCCAGCGATGTAACCTTGAAGTGTTTTTCTTTGTTTTATAAGAATTATTACTTAATTTTATTTGCTATTATTATTTTTTAAATTTGACCAGAGAGAGCCAGAGACAGAGAGAAAAAGGGCAAGTGAGAAAGTGAGAAAGCAAGCTGCCAGGTCTGGGACTCAAACTGCAGTTAGCCATGGGGGAGTCCAGCACCTCAACTACCAAGACACCCACTGGTTCCCCCCAGAAGTGTTTCTTAAAAGACACTACATCATAAAATAATTAGTCTATTCTAATCCTTGGTTATCTTATTAAAATAAACTAACTTTAAAAATCACTAAAATGTTAAACTATCACCTACCACATCATTTGACTACCCTTATAAGAAACTGACTATAAGAAATAGAAAAATGTGTAATCAAGAGAAGACATCTGCTGTTAATTCAAGCAAAGCAAAACATTATTTGTAGGCCAGCAGGTGACATGGTGGTTGAGGTACTGGACTCCTACATGGCCAATTGGAGTTTGAGTCCCGGACCTGGTAAATTGCTTTCTCACTTTCCCTCTCTGTCTTGCTCTCTGGTGAAAATAATAAAAATGATAAAAAAAAAATGTAATTATAAAAAGTATGATTGTCAGAGTCGGCAGGTGATGTGGTGGTTAAAGGTGCTGGAGTCTCACATGGCTGATCGTAGTTCGAATCCCAGACCTGGTGGCTTGCTTTCTCACTTTCCCTTTCTCTCTCTATGGCCAAATTAAAAAATAACAAGGGGAATTAAATAAATAAATAATTTTAAAAATATTATTGTATCTGTTGCTACTATAGGTTCTCCAAATTCTGCATTATTTATGATGCTACTGTTTTATTCTATCTTCTTGCTTTCTACTTTTTTTTAAGTTTCTTTCTTTCTTCTTCCCATGACCAAGAGAGAGACAGGCACCCCAGCAAGGTTCCCTTGCTTTGATCCACCATCCAGCCAGCACACATGATGCTGGGCCTGTTCAGGGTAGTCTTGGGATATGAATCTAGATATGAACCTTCCATGTTGGTCAGCCTCTTGCATTTTGTTGTACGGCATGTGTGCTTGCCAGAGAGAGAGACAGAAAGCGAGAAATACCCCTCCCCCCCCGCAGAGGGGATGGCCACAATGCAATCCCTTTTCTTCCATTCTCCTCTCAGGATTTTAGGTATGCATGCGCATGCACCTGGCATGAGTCTCAAGGTGCCAAGTCCAGGACTCAAATTGTGCTCAACTACCTGGGAGTCCAGCAACGTAACCATTATATCATCTCTTGGTTCTGCCACTTTCCTGTTTTAAAAGGGAACATACAATTATAAAAGTTTGATGTTGGGACCAGCGAAAGGCATAATGGTTATGTCACTGGACTCCCATGAAGTTAATCGTGGTTCAGGTCCTGCACCCGGCAGCTTAAACTCACACTGGGCACATGTGCATGTGTGCATGCCCAAGATCCTGAGAAGAGAATGGAGGAGAAGGGATTGTGGCATGGC